TTATGAAAATATTATTCTGTCTAAGACACACAAACAAGTTATATCGGTCTTTTATCTAAATTGTATACCCTGTTTAAGACATACAGCAAGGCCAAAAACCATACCCTGGCCAGCGGCACGTCCCCGTATAGCAAATATATGGGAGTACACCCATCGGGGAATTGCGAAAAAAAGGTTTTTGATAAGGAATTTCCCGCCAAAATTACAAATGATTGACGGTTTGTCAATTTCGGGCAGTCAAAGCATTATTCGATCCAGTCCCTAGCGTATTTTTCTATATATGGCATTCATACCCATATTAGGAATTTTTTTATATAACGCCTGACTTCATCGCCATCTTGTTTTTTGTCAACGTGAAAACTTGTGACTTGGATTTCAAAACGTAAAACCTTACTTTAAATTTTATAAGATATCCAGGAGATTTATTTAATTTCGAAATCAGTAATTCATTAGCTTTTAAGGTAAGTTTCAGAGTTTGATATGTTGAATTTATGCTATTCAGTGTGTTACCTTGTGTTTGAAGCTCATGTCTGCATGAAAGGCCCAAAAACTAAACTAGCGGCAAAAATAGTGATTTTTCTGTGTGTTAGATTGGCTGAGAACCCTTGAATTTTATTTAGATGWGTACATCCTAGCTTACATACCTAAGTGAATTATCCTATGATAGCTGTGAAGGCAGTAAGCCTAGTAACGACATGTTTGCAAATTGTTTTTTATCGAAATTTAATCTTAGGTTAGGTCAACGTAGCTAAAGTTAAATTTGTTCTGATGTTCCTCTTACAATTGTTCGGTTGACTATTTCTTCCCTAACTTATGGGTTAAGAATGAACTATTTTAAGAATGTTTGTCTTGAAATGAAAACACCTTTTGTCTATAACACTTCTTCGGTCAGTATCACGAAAATAAACTATTATTAACAGATTCGTTTGATCGTCATGATTTGATTTGAGTTGTCAACAGCATAAAASTTTATAAACATCCATTACTGTATACAACCTGATAGCAGTTTACTGTGTTTGCCACAACATTTTGGAACTTGATTGTTATTTTTGTCAGCCAAAACAAGAAGATCATAGAGAGGGAAGTCTGTTAAAAAAATTGTATGGTTACAGCAGGAATTATTGGGCTAAAATATTCAGATTTCGCATGACTGTCTAATGGTAAAGTTAGGTTGGGTATTGTTTTATTGTTTGGAAGACCATCTGTTACATTGTCCATGGTGTAGACTGTCCTATTCTTGGGTTGCAACCACATGATCAAAAATCCCTCAAGAAACATAGAACAATGCTATCGCCRCCATGTTGGAYGACTGAACAAGTGAAACTAATGAGGAATGCTTTGTTATCGTCATCCAAAATGGCGACAATGGYGTAACATGCAAGCCGTGAATATCATGATATTTATCTTTTAGTTGTAGTTAATTCTGTGATGTTTTTATTGATGTCATTTTCAGATGCCAAATATCAAGCTTCAAAGTTCTGATGGCGAGATATTTGAAGTAGATGTTGAAATTGCTAAACAGTCAGTTACGATCAAGACCATGTTAGAAGGTATGTATTATGAATTCTTACTGAGAAGTGTCTTTGCAGTAGTTTTATACCAAGCTTTCAACTATCTACCATGACTCTGTCATTGTAATTGTTTGTAATTTGAAAGCGCTTAGAGCAGATTTGTATAAGCGCTGTATAAAAATAAAATTATTATTATTATTATTATTATTATCAAAGCAAAGACTCTTGAATGCATGTATAACAGACAACTAATAATAATATAATAGCTAATTTCTCAGGAATGACTGTAATAATATTGGGTGTCCTGAAAATAAGGTTGTAATCATTCAAGGCTCCTCAGAACAGAAACGTGTAATCTAGTCTGAAGAAATGAGAAATGTAATCAACTGTGCAATGCCTATTATTGCTTTCATCAAATGTATGATTTCTTCTGCTAATATAGATCTTGGCATGGATGAAGATGACGATGACGCTGTTCCTTTACCAAATGTTAATGCAGCAATTCTAAAAAAGGTACCAYATTGCTGTCCAAGTTTCTATTGTTTGTTTTGTATTGGCATACACCWCTAGCTTTGGTTATATTGGAGATAAATATTGTTCAGCTTTAGAATGAATTAATTGGTAGCTACACATGTATATAATTGAATAAATGAGTGATTGATTGATTGACGGAGAGAAAGTTATAGTGCTTAGAAGGAGGCAATTGATTGACAGATTGTCTAAATGAGTGACTTATTGTCAGAATTGACACATTGATTGTCTAATTGAATGATTGACTGATTGTCAGAATGATTGACATACTTATTGTCTGGTTGAATGTTTGATTGTCTGGACGATTGATTAAGTGGTTGATTGAATTTCAATGAATCATTATAAATATTGAAAATGATTAAGTGACCAAACAAAAGTGAAAGTGATTAAATTGAAGAATATTATGTTAACAGTAGAAGAGCAAATGATTTTCTCTTACTTGTGCCTTATTAATGAATGGTATTGTAAAACAAGCCTGAATCAGTGTATTTACCAGTGAAAATGTTCATCAAACCAGTATCTTCAAAAAGTAGTTGTAACATAGACCACTTTCACAAGTGCCTACTATCGATATTTTATGAATTTGTAATATTAAGGAAACATCCAGCACTGTCATATYGAAGAACWATSAGAAATAAGTAATTGTGCAAAATTTTAAAGATATAGACTAAATTCTAACAAAGTTATGGAGGAATGAAAATACAAGGATTTGTATGAAATTCTTTACTGAGGCCTTGGTGGCCTCGTTTTGGTGTTTTTGTRCATCTTCCAACMCTTMTAACTTMCAGAGGATTTAATATTTTTCTGTGAAACTTTCAAAGCTTATCTTCAGCGTTGATATCTATCATCTGAGTTTTTTCTTTGTCAACATTATAAATTTAACAATACTATGCTAATTAGTGTCGGCCATTGTGAAAGTCGTRTTTAAGCCAACCATTATGTTTGCAACGCCAGGTAATTCAATGGGCAACCCATCATAAAGATGACCCTCCCCCACCAGACGATGATGAGAACAAAGAGAAGAGAACAGATGATATAGACCCATGGGATCAGGAATTCTTAAAGGTTGATCAAGGAACACTCTTTGAACTCATATTGGTAAGTARTAAATTTGTTAACAAGACCCAGTTTGAGTCCTGGGTTTCACTCCTAGTAGATGACAATATGTTATTCCTGACATTGTTCACATGAGGCACATACACATAAACCTAGACATAGAAAAATGTTTGTATTCTTTATGCTTATGACTGTGGTTGTGCTTTTGTTGTTATGTCACATTTGTTGAATTATTTATCTAAATTTTGAAGTTTAGGCATGAACAACTCTAAACCCTGACCTATTCAAAATCCTTAAACTCCATACCCTTTTCAAGACAAATTGGTAAAATTCAGGTCCTATCCARGACTTGAGAGTTGACATAAACCAGGTGGTGTTCCTGTGAAAGATGTCAATATGTCATCTTCCCCTTTCCCGGCTTTCAGACGTGCTTGAACCATGTTGATTATTCATTATCACAAGGAAAAGCATACATGTTGCTATTGTTTTAAATAGAATAAATTGACAAAAAAGCCACACAACTTGCAACTTGGTTTTCTACTCTTTAATAAACGTTTTGGGCATTTGCTATGTTTTGCACGCGCCACTGCTACAAGAACAAAATCCTAAAAAAACGAAACACGACTATTCTTTTATGTGTAATGCTTATTTTATATCTTGCAGGCAGCAAACTATCTAGATATAAAAGGATTACTAGATGTGACATGTAAAACAGTTGCAAATATGATTAAAGGTTTGTTTTAGAAACCTAAATACTCTTATACATTAAACTAATGCTCTGAAAAGCTGAAAAATAATTGTATAGATTTGACAATACCTGTAAACCCTTGTAGCAACATGACTGTTAAAAAATGCTAAATGTTGACATGATCCTAGTGTGTAGAATCAACATTAGWAGTAMGCAGGATCAACATTAGTAGTAAGCAGGATCAACATTAGTGATAAGCAGGGTTTGTGATACTCCTTGATATCCTTGAAAAGTCCTGGAATTGGAAACTTGTTTTCAAGGGCACTTGAAAAATCACTAAAACTCCTGGAAAACTCCTTGAATCTGATGAAATTGACATGTTGCTTTTTGCAGTTTGGATTGAAATTTGGCGATTTTCAAAAATTGCCACTGGAAACATCAAAAAACATCAAAAAATATCTTCAAAATTACTCCTTGAAAATCACATTTTTGTGCTTAAAAAGTACTTGAAAAGTCCTGGAATTTTGTAGTAAAAATGTTGCACAAACCCTGAGTTAGTAATGTTTGTTTTAAAGATTGTACACTTTAATCATGAGGACATTTTCTTCACAGGTAAAACACCAGAGGAAATAAGAAAAACGTTCAACATCAAGAACGACTTTACACCTGAAGAGGAAGAACAGGTAAATAATATGCAGTTGTTTATTCATTTATTTATTCATTTTCATTTGTTCCACATTGGTTAACATTTGGTTAGGTGGTCAGGGACATACAGCAAACACACGAAAACCATGAAATAWAATCAAACTAAAAACTAACAAATAGCAGCGATTTAGAGACAATTTGTCAGTATCAATGAATCAAAGCACAATGAAGATGAATCCACATGGGACCATTTTTTATTCATCTTGATTGCGTTCTGGTTCATTGATACTGACAATTTGTCTCTAAATAGCCGCTATTTGTTTGTATTTAGTTTGATTTTATTTCCTGGTTTTTCTGCTTTTGCTCTATTGATCACATACTGTTTGTACATCAATTCACATGTCGAGCAATAAGGGGGAGAGGATGTCAAACAACCAAACAAAATAGTTAACATCATCAGCATTGCTACATGACCAGTCCAGATAAMATTTCACAGTTGTAATTAGAAATAGATTGCTGTCATTCAACTATAGTGCTTTTGTGGCAGTCACTAGTTAGTTTGAAAATTTGAATTGATGGCAGTCTTTTGCTATTAAATTGCATGTAGTTATAATAAATTTGTCTGTGCTAATCGCATAGCAATGCAAGCATACCATAAGGTTAAATCACAAATTCTTTYCCTAACATTTGTATGTTCCCCYACTTGTTCTTTTTTATCAATTCTCCCATTCACTTCCCACTTTTTACTTGTCAGGTACGGAAGGAGAATGAATGGTGCGAAGAGAAATAAGTCTCAACAGAGGATTGTCAAAGCTCTCTTTTCTACACAGACATTTATTTCATCATTACCACCATTACTATTGGAAACTTTTTTAACTATTATCATTTTTGTCTTGCTGTGAAATTGGARTTGTACCTAAACAAACACAAATGTTTGGTTTGTCCATGCAAATACAGTTAACTTGTGTAAGTAAWACAAAACTAATAATTATTGTAAATCAAAAGAATTGCTGTTTTTTCTTGAAGTATTTCTTGTAGATTGAACAGAGTACTCATGTTTGTGCTCTCAAAAGTTGTGTTCTTTATCAAAAATATAAATAAAAAYATTTCTTTGTGACTATTTTTGACTTTTTAATACTAGTAACCAGTTGATTTCTTTTGTTTTAAATCCTCTAGGGAAACAAAAGCCCAAAAAAATCAGCCATTAAAACAGTGCCAAGGCACTTCATGTAATCGGGCTCTTAGTTTTGAACTCTTTCATTTTTTCCCAGTTTCCTTTTATCTTTTTTTTATTTTCTTGCCATTGTCAATTTTTCATGTTCTTTTGCTCATTTTATTTACTCTATTTCTGTTTTTTTTTTCCCTCTCTAATTTTTATCCTTTTTTGATCTTAAATGTGATAGTTACGATTAAACCGATCATGTGCTGATGTGTGGTAAAATAAACAAAACAAAATTCATTTTATTACAAAAGAGGTTTGTATTCCAATCACCATATATTGTACAAAATGGATTTCTTTTTATTTCAAAATAGTCAGAATATGAAAATGTGTGTGAGCAACAGGATAATTCAAGACAACTAGATTTTTGATAGGGTGGGGGAGCTGGCTGAGAATTAACCCCAAAAATGGGAGCACAGCCTAAAATGAGAAAAACAAACAAAAAAAAAAGAAGAGAAAAACAAACGCGCAAAGCAACATTTTATTACTGGACGACTTTAAAACTACTGGTAAAACTTACCTATTTAAACAAACTTATGAACCTTTTTATTTTAAATTTACCTTATATTTCAAGTGCTTCATCATCATCATCATCATTGTTATTATTATTATTATTATTGATGTGAAATCAAAAAGAACAAAAGTGTTTGCCCTGAATAAAACATATTGCCTTACCCCTCCCCCCTTAAAAAATCTAAATAATCCACCCCCTTTTATAAGACCCTATTTCACATGCAAAGTTTTATGCAGATTACTCAACAACTCATGGTGCCAAATCATTCATAAAATAATAATACATTCTATTAAAAAAAATATTTTAAAATTTCATACGAAGTTCTTTGACAAGTTTTTAATATATTAAGAATTTCAAAATTCTGTAATCGTGGTAAATGTGACATTCTTGTCCATTCTGGGATATATTTATTCATTGATTTTTGCCATCAAAGAAGCCATTTAGATGCTACTAAATCRACATAGCTCGTGGCAACTCAGTCATGCAACATTTCTAAGAAAAGTACACACCCCTAACTTTGTAAACTTTAATTTTAAGCTGTAAAATAAATGCATTGTTGTGCGAACAAGAGTCTTTCACATGTAGGCGAAGTTTTCTCTGTAATAGTGTGATTATGAAACAGCACTTATCAACATCTGCTAGGACAAAACATGCACGATTTGAACACATTCTAGAAGAAAATAAGCGCATGTTTCAATTAATTCAATTAGAACAAATTAAAAGAAGTTTTTATACTTTTTGTGGCAGTGTTTCCATAAATTCTCGTTGAATACAAGCAGTTTTCAAGAGATTGAATAATCATTAGCTTCACAACGCTTTGAGGTCAACATTATGGCGAGGAGTGAAGGCTGTTTTGAAACCAATGACGCATAAAACAACTTTACTTTTAACTAAATCCTCAGAAAATTGTTTTCCATCGAGAAACATGCTGAAATTACTCTCAATATGGTTCTATTACACCGTTTACACCTAAAATAATGAATGTACAACTTTCAGTTTTCGGAGAAATTGATGCCACGCCATACTGAGGTCAACGTAAAGTGCTGATTCGGTTCGCCAGTGCTGACGATGCAAATAATTGCAAAATAAAATAATATAAAAAATACCTCAAAAATCGGCGTCGGACACTGTTGGGGCAATACATGCAGCTACTTTTAAGTGTATTTTGACAGTTCTACGTTGCGATTGCAATATTTGAGCGAATTTTTCAGATTTTTCCACTGCAATCGAAAGTATTGAGTCAGCATAACAAGGTCACCACGTGTGTCTAAACTAAAAGCGGAAAGCAACACAAACGCATATATAATTCAACGTTTTTTATTGGCGTTCTTTTAAAATATAGATAGTTGGTTGAATCAGTGAGGAACAGTCTATTAACCTCCTTATTACGAAGACTTTAAAGTTAGTTTCGATCCATGTATTTGTATCAGATGTGACAWTTGTCATGATCATTGATTCAATGAAGTTGGTTTTACTACAATATTACTACAGTCTGAGTATTCCTTTTYTCTCCCTAAACACGAGAACAGTTCCTTTTATGACCGTGAAATCAACGATGCACTGTAGACGYGCTTACGATGAAATAGTACGGTTGTAAACAATGTAGATTTCATGTCTAGTGAATGGAGCTCGGGTCCCTGCCTCGTACACCCGCTCTTGCATAATTGGCGAATTCACGATCAGTCATAAATTTACGTTKCTACCTAATTGTTGTTACTCCTCTTAGATAGTTCTTCCATTGGTATTTGTATAGATATTATACACACAAGTACACATCAGTAAGACCCAAAGTTCTAGAACGCATCATCACAACATGTGACCACGCGTCTTTACGATTGTAAACAAACCTATGTTCCTTGTCGATTTCAGGTATTACCGCGATTCATCGCTTCCTTCTTCACTAGTATCCTGATTATGTCTATCCTGTTTTGCAGATTCCATCTCATTTTGATGATTGTCAGTGGCTTTTTCCCGCTTAATTCTCGCTGGTCTTTCTGCTTCCTCAATGCCAACTACATCAATGGGATCATCTAGTTCAGTACTAGTAGTATTTTGCAAACCAATTTGCTTAGTACGGTTAGTCAAAAGTTTCTGTAAAGAGTCGTACTTTCTCCTAGCTTCGTCTCTCTCTCTTCGCAAGTCTTCGTTTTCTTTGCATATTGAATAAAGTTCGTTTTTCAATTGTTGCCGTTCATCTTCGAGATCCTCTCGCTGTCTTACGCGTTTAGTTCTGCTGTTCTGTGCGTAGCCACGGTTTTTCAGTGTTCGTCGGCGTTGTTTTAGTCTATATACTTCATCATCGGGAAGACCACGCAACAGATGATTCAGCTCTTTCACTGGCAAACTAGATAAAACATCGTCATTTAAATCCTCAGCCTTCAAACTCTTGCCTTCATCCCCCTTTTTCTGTCTTTTCACTCCCAAAGTCCCCTTGTCCTCGTCCGCCATAACTGGTCCCGTTCGCCCGCGCAGAAGACGCGCTCGACTATGTACCATCGGGAGGGGGCGAGTACGAACCCGTGTACAGTAATGATGACAAACGAACTCAAAAGWAATGAAAACGCTGCTTTGTCATGGTTTATAGAAACAAAATAACAATAAAAATCAATAGTAATAGTTCAAAAAATAAGAATGAATAAATAAGGTTAAAAAATTATCAAAAAATGTGGATATAAATGAAGCTAAATGATGAAGAAAGTAAATATGACAATCGTTTATTGATGATGATTAGATAATTACATAATAATAAGAAAATCATCAATTATTATAACCAAAAAATATATAATTGTTTAGATTCATTGAATAAATTATTAAAGAATTGATGATGATGATGATGATAGGTTCCAGCTGAATTATCATCAACATGATTAATCATTATCCTATAAAACAATATTAAAGTTAAATAGGTGCTTGAAGGTCAAGTGGACATTGATTTAATTGATAAGCTTTTAACCTGATTGGGTTGTTCTTAGCTGTAAATATTGTTTTCGATACCTGAAAAATATTATAAGTGGGGGCCTGAGGTCAAATCTTGGTCAAGAAACAGTAGAATTTATCAGAGATTTTGGGCTTTTCTGGAAAACCCTGCAATACCATAAACAAATGGAGATGGATAAGTCAGACAATGCTCCACCCTGTCTATGGCCCTAATGTTGTCTCTGATTTGGATAACTCTTCCAGACTCTTAAAAAACTACACATCGATATAATGCAAAATAAAACTTAGGCTAGCACAATAATATCACATGTAAGCATTAAGATAGTTTGGTCGGTACTGTACTATATATATAGTGTACAGTAGTGAGACAAATTTCATAATTGATTTGTAAATAATGTACAAAGTATTGCAGCTGGAGTGGCATTGTACTATTGCAGAGTAGAAATTTGAAGCACATTTCGAGATAGACAATAACATCATATTCCCACCATACTATGGAAAGCTTTATTTAAACAATTTTAATTTTTTGAAGTATTTCTGTATTTGTTCTTTGGCATATGGTTTGGTAACAAGGCAGGTTGGATAATTTTCTGGCTGCTCAATCCATAGTTTGTGATCCACTTTATCTTGAGTTAAAGCATTTGAAATGGATTTGAGTTGCTCTTCATCTTTGGCCTGTATTAAAATGATATTCAGTTGTTGGTTGCCTTGTCATTTAATCAATGAATCAATCAATCAATCAGACAACTAACCAATCAAACCATCAGCTAATAATCTTATCAGTTAATCACTCAATTTGAAAACTAATCCATCAATTTGTCAATCAATCAATCATCATCATTTATCTAATCATATCGTGTCATCACAAAACTTGTTACTACATGATTACCTCAAGCACTACTTTATGCATGTTATCGATGTCTTTGGTGTAGTCTTTGGTATTCACATCATCCTTGTATTGCCATGTTACGGCTGTACATGCATGACATGCTTGAGCAATTAGTGCACCTGTAGGCCATTGCAGTACTTTTGTTAAGTCTCCACGGACAACAACATATTGAACCAGCTTGTTACTACCCGACATCTTGTTGAAGCTATTACTGACAGGAATGATTCTTTACATAAAGATATGTTGACTATTATCTTGTTATCAGGTACGTTTCTGAATGCCTGTTTTGAAATATAAGTGAAGTAAGAATCATATGGTATCAGGATGATGTTGTCAWCATTTTGGGAGTTCTAGAACTTGCTCTTTAGTAAGGTTGATGCTGGGATCTCTCAGGACCACAAACAGGGGGTGGGCAGGTGATCAGGGATCAAAATTGGGATCAATACCCTCAACTTACAATACAGTCAAAAAGGTTTCAATTGGTTTCAATACATAATGAAAATATAGTGCTACTTACTATAGTGGTGTTATTTCAGTGGCCAATCACAAAATTAACTTATGAAACAGTAATCTTTTTATCCTGTATCAAGTATAAATTTAGTACTATGRTTGGAAAGGACAAAGATAAGACTAATATATCAGAATATACATCTATTTGGAAGTAAAATAAGCAGCTTGTGTGCTAAACTCTAAGTATATTTCAGAAAAACAAAATTACCCCCAAAAAATATTCTCTTTGATGTTGCGTGACATTCAATAAAGGCCTGGCTGCTAAGTTTGAGGTGTGTGCAAAAGTTTCCAAAGACATTGCTTAATTTAGGATTCAAATATTTGGAAAAATGCGGCGATAATCTATTTGTGCATAAGAAATGCTTTGGATAAATAATAGGACAGCGCATGGTGAAAAGATTGYTTTAAATTAAGATGTTTTTTTGTGTTTTCGGTTCAGTTTAAAAATAGATATGACGTAATCTTCCTAGGAATCCCGGTGTGTTCAAGGGCAAGCACGCGCGCGCGCCTTCAACCGTTTGGTCAGCCATTTTGGATCGCCTAATAATCACTGTTATTTGCAGAGATTTTCCGCCTTTGCTGGAGCCGGATAGACACATAGTATGGCAGAAACAAAGGAAGACTTAGTGTCAAAAGCCAAACTTTCCGARCAGGCAGAAAGATACGATGACATGGCTGCAGCCATGAAGAAAGCGACAGAGCTCGACCCAAAACTCTCGACAGAGGAAAGAAACTTGCTTTCTGTGGCGTACAAGAACGTGGTTGGTGCCAGGCGATCATCATGGAGGGTCATTTCTAGTATAGAACAAAAGAATGAAAGCGGAACAAAAAARCAGTTGGCGAAAGAATATCGTGAGAAAATTGAAAGGGAGCTGAAAGATGTCTGCGAGGATGTTTTGGTAAGCATGAGACTTCGCCCCACCCTGCTTATTAACTATCTCTTTATAGGCAATTTATGAATGAAAAATTAGTACTTTGACAGCAATTTCTGTTTCATTAGTCCCAAATCATTGATCGTGATTCAGTTAGTGTGTCTTGACACCCCAATACCTGCAGCCCAGTCTCAGCTACTCTAATTTAAGCTTATATTGACACCTAGGTGCAAATTTTCTAAAATATTGTCCTGTGAAAGGTTAAAATAAGAATTGAGCGAGCTCAATGGGAGACATTCTAGATAAAACATTAAACATTATAGATAATGAGTTTTTTAAGCACTATCTATTGTATTTGTACATTTCCTTTTGTCTTTATAAAACAACAACAGAGATGATTGAACCTCTTATTCACTGCAGTTCACTGCATGCTTACCTTGCGTCTGAACTGATCACACATTGGTTTACATAAACTGTTCTCACTGCTTACATTTATTATATAGAAAAAAATTGTCAAATTTAAAAAATGTAACATCAAAAAATGCTTCAGATTTGTGTTTTAAGATGATTTTTCAGCTGATAATTTGACATTTTTTTAGGATGAAAAGATAATTTGCTATAGTTATTCATTAAGTTTGTACAGCAGGTTTTGTTCAACTGTGAAATGACAGACGTTGCTTAAAGCGTGTTTGACATTTAAGTATCATGATATTCAGAAATCAAAATGTGTTCAGTCAGACTTTCCAGTCTGTTTATGACTCAGTCCCCTAGGGAGGGCGGGGAAATTAACACATTATGTCCAGGAATTTAACACACTTTTAACAGTATCAACCCCTAGAGAGTACCAAGGAATAAATACATTATATATCATGATGTAATGCTTTTGTAACAGCATCAATCCACAGGGAGGCGGGGGAAATAACATCTAAAACAAAGGAAGTAATCTGTTTGGCTGTCTTTGTTTGCTTCAAAGATTCTGGAAATGTAGGCATTTTAACATTTGTGAATTTYCGTGCATGGGGGTTAAGGGGCCATAGTTTCAATTAAATAATGCATTAATGAAATGTAAAGAAAATATTTATTTATTTAAACACAAGATGTTTCATTTTACCTCTATAAACATGAATATATTACTCAGGAATTTCACAACAGCAACAACAGAGAAGTTGTTTCATTAAAACCATGGTCTTAAGTCTTTATTTAATATCTATAAAATTCATTAATAATTCATAAATTCTTACAAATGATATTTTATCTTGAAGGTTTTTTTGCGCAATATGCTTTAGCTTATGTTGGAATTGATAAGCAATATAAAATATTTGTGCCCCTCGCTTGCAGCTCACAGTTTCAAATGCCCATAAAGGTCTCTTGTATTTTATTCTAAATCTGTCACTCTTTCTGTCTGTCTGTCTGTCTGTCTGTCTGTCTGTCTGTCTGTCTGTCAGTCTGTCAATTTGTATCATTTGTCATTGAATGGTTTGGTTTCTATTTCAGACTTTGTTGGATAATTACCTAATTAAAGAATCCAGCAAAGACAAAGAACATCCTGAATCTGAAGTCTTTTTCTTGAAAATGAAAGGCGATTATTACAGATATCTAGCTGAAGTAGCTACAGAGGGAGAGCAAAAAGGTTGGTTTTTGAGGGGAGGATATTGTCCAGGTATAATTATTTCAACCTCCAAAAGAAGCAAAAACCTTTTGATTGGTGCTGCCAACTAAATTCTTTATGTCACCTGTAAAGTAGATGTAACTGTTGTTTTTCCCTTGCCTCATTATTTAGTACTTCATAGCTTATTTTAAATTTACATGTATATATTTTTTATCAATTTGATTTTGAAATTGAATTTAATGTTTGTGTCTTTTTCAAGGCCAAAGTCAGTAAATAAATACATAATTTATAAGATTTGCATAATTGAATTGCTTTTTTGTTCTCCAACTTCCTATTTTTTCTGTGGTTTTGAAGTGAAGGTTAGGTTTGAATCCCTTCCCTCTGCTCCACTCCCTCCTAGGATCTACCTTATTCGTAATAATAATTTTCGCAAGCAGTTAATTTTTCACAAATTCGGAACACAAATATTTTGCAAGATTCAATTTTCGCGATTTTGAAAAAAAGGATAAATTTAGTGCATTTAATTTTGTGAAAATTAATGAAAAAAACAGGTGGACAGACAATCCTTTTTTATTGAATGATAACAATAATCGATTTACAATCAAGATTTTTACATAAAGAAGTTAACTGATTGAAGTAATTATGGAAATGTATTACATTTTGCGTGTTTATTTTTTGTGAGGTTTTAATTTCAGGATTTTTTTTAAATCATGAAAATTGCGAAATTAAAGCCTTGCAAAAACTAGTACGAAGAAGGTACAATATTCGCACAACACTAATCTGTTTGATTGTTTCTCTAATCATATGCTTTACATTTGTCATCCCCACAGAGGCTGTTGATAAGTCCCAGGGAGCTTATAAAAGAGCTCAAGAAATTTGTAATGATGTCCATGCATCCAAAAGTGATAAGTTAGCACCAACTGATCCAATCCGTCTGGGTCTTGCACTCAACTATTCAGTGTTTTATTATGAAATCTTAGATGACCAAGCAGAAGCTTGTAGACTGGCTAAACAGGTAGGACTGAGAATGGCTGCATCTATAATATGACAAAAAAATGGAGAAGAAAGAAATCCACAGAGAGAAAAAAAAGTTATTACCATGTTGGATGAATAAACAAGACAAACTATCGATTAATGCWCTATTATCTTTATTCAACATGATGGCTATGGTCAGGGTTCGTGCTACTACTTGAAACYCTTGAAAAGTCCTGGAATTGAAAACTCATTTTCAAAGGTGCTTGAAAACCCCTTGAAAATGGRAAAAAMCACTAAAACTCCTAGAAAACTCCTTGAATCTGATGAAATAGACATGTTACTTGTTAGCTTTTGAATTGAAATGTGGCTATTTTTGAAAATTGCCTCTGGAAATGACTGCAAAAATCAAAAAAGTTCTTCAAAAAATAGTCCTTGAAAATCAAATTTTTGTGCTTAAAAAGTACTTGAAAAGCAATGGAATTTTGTAGTGAGAAATGTAGCACGAACCTTGTACGATGAAATGTACAAGCTTTGAATTGTTTGTTTGTTTTGGTGTTTGTTTGTTGGTTGCTTGGTAGGTTTATATTAAGTACTGTTTACTGAGTTATTTAAAATCTATTATTAAATTATTTTATTTAAACACAGGCTTTTGATGATGCTTTAACTGAACTTGATCAACTCACTGAAGATGAATATAAGGATAGCACACTTATTCTACAGCTATTAAGAGATAATTTAACAGTGAGTACATAATATTTACCTCGGTCAGTTTGGACCTTCCTTTTTCCAAAACCTCTTCCTTCAACCCAAATGTCTTCTAATAAAAAGACAGCAAAGAAGAGCTATTTCTCTTTGGCACCTCATCTTGAGAAATAAATAAATAAAGTCTTTTATTTTAGTCTCTAGACTAATAAACTTGTGGCCCTCTATATATTCACTCACACTCACTACCTCAACATTCATTATTTTACTACACGACACTCCTCACAGCTAGTTTTTGACTGAGGGAGGAAAACCAGCGGACCTGGAAAAAAACCCTCGGAGCAAGGAAGAGAACCAGCCTACAAACTCAAATCACATATTATAGTCCCGGACCGGGAATCAAACCAGGACCACAGCGGTGATAGACCGGCGTTTTAACCGCTCGGCCATCCTTGCTCCCCTTGATTGCTGTACATTACAAGAAGAACCTCATTAACTAGTTGTTTTTCTGATTGATTGCAGCTCTGGACTGAACGAGATGAAAACCAAGGAGAACAATAGCTGTACTTAAGTTCAGTTTCATAGTTTATAAGCAAATTGGATTCTTTGTTTGCTTAAAACAATTTATTCTAAGTATGTTCCAGTTAATAGTACCAAAATTATTAGCCAGTGAAAAGATGTGTGTACTAAATATAGGTTAACATTTGAATATAAGTTTTAGAGAAATTTTAAAAATTATGAAATTTTAATTTTGTTAAATACCCTTTTTATTGCAAAGTTATTTTCAAGTTTTTTTTATATATAAAGGTTGAAAAAGACTGCAACTTTAAATATTGTGGCATACAATATTCTAAGAATGTCATCAATATGGCTTGTAGAACTGTTCACCCAACATGATTGTGAGCTAATTGGAGCTGTATTCATGTCTATGTTCAGTCTCAGTCTTGTGTATAAAAAATGGTAATTTTTTACTCTGTTTTATTATAACATTGTTTTTTTTGCCCCATCTGCATCTGCACAATTGCATTATTTCACTGCCATGACAAGAATATTTTGCGGTACCTTCTTTCTTGTTAAATTAAGTAAATAAACTACAATTGTCTGGGCAAGAAAACTTGGAAAACTCAATCAAAACTATAAATAAATGAATGTTTTACATAGATTCTTTAATTATCACACCAAACTACAAAAATACAATTCATTTGAAAGTTTTGAAGAATTTTCTTGAAGTTTTCTGTTGAAATTAGTCACTTCTGATTGGTCAGTGAACAATAAACATTCCTCAAATATTTCTTGTCAGTCACAGCTTTTCAATTTGCACTGTAATACTGATTATATTACAAGGGAAGTTGGCAAAGTATTCTGGTCTTGGTAGTATGTGAAATCACCAATGAAATTGGTTAATTTGCTCTCCTGAGAACACAGCTATGATGTATTATTGCTTTAACTGCATGTAAGACAACATGTTTTGATTGGTATTGTTACTTGGAGCATCAACAAGTTAGTWAAAAAGTATATATCGTTATTATTGAATAAAGGTAGTTGATGTGCAAATAATTATTATTGAACACTTGACCCTGTAATAGAGTACATCTTGTACTACTTTGTAAACAAATTTAAAATATTTTGTACATTGTCATATTAAAACAACGCTTAAATTATTGAAAAATATTGTTTCATAAAATAATGTGTACCACTTTGAAAATCTTCTTTATTTATCTCTAGGGGGTATTGAATGGTAAAATCCGAGCCYCGTCGAGCTAGGGGGTAGTCACTAGGGGGTAGTGACCTGGGAACGAACGTCCTAACGGCTGTGAGAGGAGACTAAGCCTTGGGAAATCTTTGACGAACCTCGTGAATTCTGAGACACCATTCTATATCCCTATCCCTTCATGTGGTTCACTGTTGCCTTGTTGACAAAACCAAAGTTTTAACTGGAAATAACTCCTTCAGCATTGAAGGTGTCCATTTTAAATAAATTACACAAATACTACTCACTTGTTGAGAGAAAGTTCCTAGACTCCATTGTCCAACCCCTCACAGGCCGGGGTTGTCAGTGTTGGGTACTTCAATGAACTAGACAGGGTTTAGTTGGTACCAGGAATGGCAAGTCCTTGCCAATGAAGGTCAATATTTTTTTCTCAGTGACTACTGGTCCAGCTACTTCTGAACCCTTTGGGTCATCCAATCAAATAGAACCAACTGAAAAAGAAAAACAAAATGAGACTGCTGAGGGGAGGAGGGTGAGTTTATGAAATGTTATATTGAAACAGGGGGTAGTCTGCAACACCCCTTATATTATCTTGAATTCCATGGATGCTGGTCTTCAGAAATTGGATCTACTGTGCAGCTTCCCAGCTGAGAGGCAAAGTTAATATAAAATTCGCATTTTTTGGAAAAGGAAAAATATTCCGAATGTTTATTTTGGGCATGTGAAAAAATTATCAATAATTTTGTTGCAGTTACCAGCGCGATTGTGAAAAGTATTTTCTATATTTGAATTAATCAAAGAAAGATACCCTACTAGTCGTATGGTCTCTAGATAAATTATGAAATTGTTCAAAATTTCATTGTAAATACCTGCTGACTTGGGCTTACTGTGGCATTATTACCACCACAGGAATCCCAATTAAAACACAAAGGGCTTCCTGTGTTTGTGGCGCCAGGTCTATCAACCGTTCGTTCGGCCATCTTGCATCGCTGAGTTGATCATTGGTTTGGAAGAGTTTTGCCGCTTTTATTTCACCGGTATAGGCATTTAGAATGGCAACAAAAGCTGAGCTTGTCGATCAGGCTAAGCTCTCCGAGCAGGCAGAAAGATACGATGACATGGCCGACGCCATGAAGAAAGCGACACAGCTCGACCCAAAACTTACGACAGAGGAGCGAAACTTGCTTTCTGTGGCGTACAAGAACGTGGTTGGTGCCAGGCGATCATCTTGGAGGGTCGTTTCTAGTGTTGAACAGAAGAAAGCCTCAAAAGAAGCCGATGCAAAATACTTGGAAATGTGTGAAAAGTATCGACAAAACGTAGAGAATGAACTCAAGGATGTTTGCAACGATGTTTTGGTAAGATCCCTCGCCCCACCCTGTCAGAATCCAACAATCTCTTTCTCGTAGTAAAATCACTACGTTGAAATCTTAAAACAATCTCATGATTTTCGGACCTATCTCGTGACTTCTTCTTCTTGACTTCTGACTGATTTTTGCCCAATCTAATTCGGTTTACGTTGATATTTTGTAGGCTTTGTTGACCAACCACTTGATTAATAAAGACAACGAGGTAGAATCTCAGGTCTTTTTCTTGAAGATGAAGGGAGATTACTACAGATACTTAGCTGAAGTCGCTTCTGACGACGAGAAGAAAGGTGAGCACCTTGATATTCGATATTTCAACTATTTTTGCAATTTTTAGCGCGCWATGTGTTCGTGTTTSTCCGTTTGTCATGTCGAGTGTTCGTATTGGGCAATACCCCATGCTAGAGGATGTAAGATCGCATGTAGAAGGTGTTTTAACAAGCTATTGTTATTACTAACTGTAATAAATGTGATTTATAAGAATATTAAATCCTTTCTTCAAGGGGTGTCATATTTCAAGTAATCCAAACAAGACTTTATTTTATATAGCTAAAATCTGGGCTAAAGTGTTACGGATTTCTCAAGATTTTTTTGTACTATGCTCTTTAATAATGTACTTGTTATTTCATAATAAGTCACAACTTGATCAATATACAATTAGAATTAATATACACTCTCTGGGTTTATTATGTAAATACAATAATTATTTTGGCTTTACATGAATTCAAATATTTTTGACTTTTTTTCATGGCAGTTGTAAGGTCATTATTTATTCATTACTACTATTGTAATACTGCTTTTTGCAGTTGGTAACTTACTCTTGTCAGGTAGCAGTGTCTTAACTTCAAAATTTAGAAAGCATTTAAGCTTGCGGCAATTAGTATGTATTGTGATCTCCCTCCAATTCTGAGGAATGGCTACCACTAGGAACTCCAAAGGAGAGCGTCCCCTTTTTTTGCTGACTCTGCCATAAATCAGTAAAAATGGCACTYGTCAGACTCTGATAACATTACAATGTAACACTTTAAAAATAATAGAAATTAAGACATCCCTTTTTATCAACAGATGTTATTGCAAAGTCCAAAGAGGCATACAAYGAGGCTTCTCAATCAGCAAGCACCTTACCTGCTACTGACCCCATTCGTCTGGGTCTTGCTCTCAATTTCTCTGTCTTCAACTATGAGATCTTAAATGACCCCAAAGAAGCCTGTAAACTGGCCAAGGATGTAAGTGATTTTATCCCAGTATTACCTTGAAATAATTTGTCTATATTTTTTATGTCTTTGTGCACATTTGCAGCATTCTTTGTAGTTTYTTTTAAAGTTTTTTTTTAGCATTGATATTGATCTAGTCAAGAATGCAAAATTTGGCTAATCTTGACAAAATTTGGCATTTGGAAATATTATTTCTCTGTGTGGTATTTAATCTTCGATTAGTAAAGTCTGACCATCATGCCGATCAAGGAACTCTACCCAGYTTCACCCTCTTTGAAACCAGGCACTGTTTAACCAGCATTTCTGCTGATTTGGTTTATTATACTTTATTATAAGCATAATATCAGGCATGTCGGAATTATGCGCAAAAAAAATCAAAATTATGCGGAATTTTTTTCCTATATTATGCGGAGAAAAGGGTGAATTATGCGGAAAATTATGCGGGATGACGTCATCACAGGAACGTAAACTTTGGGAAATTTTACAAATTTTTAAGTTATTGTGTTTTTTTTTTTTTCATGCAAAACTCCGTTTTTATCTTAGTTACGAAGTACAGAAGGCGGTACCAACAGAAGGAAAGATCTTTTTAGACTTTTTCGTTCTCGCACGCTTGGCATCTCACTTGTATCATACGCCATATTGGAATTTGTCACGTGATCTGGTAAGGCACAGGGTGACCAGTAATGCTAGTGCCCAGACTCTTTTCTATGAAATTTTGAACGCCTGGTACATTTGTGAAGCCGACGAAAACAAAACTATATTCGGAGAATTATAAGCATGTTTGGGAGCGTTTTTTGATCAAAAAATCAGTCAATGGAACACAAAAAACATTAGTAGAAGGCAAGTCATCTTAAAAAATGGTATAACATGGGACAAAAAACACGAATTATGCGCGATTATGCGCGATTTGGTAAATTATGCGGAAAGGGGGCAATTATGCGCGTCCGCATCCGCGCATAATTCCGACATGCCTGTAATATTGCTCTTCCATGAAAACGTAATGGCTCATGTTAATCTGATGATGAAAATATCACTTTTAATTCAATGTTTTTAACAGGATTAATTTTGATATATTCTACTAACAATGCTTTGTAGTTACTTTAGTATATTTTTTTATTAAATTAAATATTTGATATAAACTGCCCTGCCTGCCTGGACTAGTAATCATTGCTATTTGCAGGCCGACGTACAAATCTTACTTTTTGTAACTGTATACCTTATATTGAAAAATAAGAATATAATAATTACTATAAGCTGTTGTGATCAATGTCATTGAGAATGGCAATATTGGTTACAATATTCAAGAAGCTRACCAGGTCTGTTTTTCCAGGCTTTTGATAATTCAATTGCTGAGCTGGACACACTTGATGAAGACAAGTACAAGGACAGCACTCTTATTATGCAGTTATTGCGAGATAACTTGACTGTGAGTATTCCCTGCTGTTGCTTATCAGTGCAGTTCAATTCACTTTTTATTAGTATTCGATAGAAAAAAGTACAATTAGTCATTTGAACTATTAGTGATAAAAGTGTAGGTATATGTTGACCAAAGAAGCAGAGCTTTCCAGTGCATGTCAGTAGAGTAAATACACTTGAAACTTGAAACAAAATAAATTGAAGTTTTAGTCGGAATGACTAACACAGGGTTTGCACTACTCCTTGAAATCCTTGAAAAGCCCTTGAAAATGGAAAAATTGMTAAAACTCCTGAAAAACTCCTTGAACCTGATGAAATTAACATGTTGCATTTGCTGTTTGGATCGAGATTGTCTATTTTTTTAAAATTGCTACTTGAAACATTCGCAGACGTCCAAAAATATCTTCAAAAATAGTCCTTGAAAATCGCATTTTTGTGCTAAAAAAGTCCTTGAAGTTTGWAGTGAAAATGTAGCAGGAACCCTGCTAATAGTGTATCATATCAATGAACCAGGACAGTGTGCATTACCTTTAGTTTCATGCATGCTCTGGTTCAGTGAGGTACACTGTTAGTCAGTAAATACAAACTTATAGATACTATTTACTTAAATAATATTTCAATGCAGTGTTTACTATTATTGTTATGAAATAGTTTGTAAACTGTATATTGGTTGTCCTTTTTGTTTTATGAAGCAATAAACAATAGCTTAAAGCAGTTTACTGGCAAAAGATCAGTAAATCACGAGCCGTTAGGCTATCGTTTATTGCGTTTATATCATAGCCAGCATCCACCATTTTGAGTCAATAGTCTTTCAAGAAACCAGGCTGGTTTACCAGTGAATTAAACCATAGCTTTTCTGCTCATGAAATCCACTAATCAGAACGCATCTTAGAATTGAGCTATAATATAAAACAACATCTTATTTCTCTATTACCAAATCAGTATCATAACACAATCCTCAATGTTTCCACTTGTGACACAGCAGGGATGATTGGTTGTTATTTGTCCCACATTATATTGTCTTGATTGATTGCTACAATTATCATAGCGATTTATAGCAAAAACCATTCCACCACTACCTCAAGCTTTAAAGTTTACCATCTTTTCTGAGAGATTGGGGCTGAGCTTATGTTAATTATTCTTCTCCATATAACTATGCAAATAAAGACTGCTGACATGAGAAAATTAGGAAGAACTTTGAATCTTCATACTGGTATCCTTTGTATATTTGAAAGTGTACGTATTAAGGTGTAGTTTTGAATACAGACTACTCTAGGCCAAAAAAAAAAACAGCTTTGTGGAAACGATTAGCATAAGCTTAGCCCTAAAGCCACTGAAAAGAACATATTTCAAACAAACTTCAAAGTTGCAATAAGACATTTTTGCTGTATATAAATACTTGTTCCATCACGACAACATGGATACATCTTGGGCCTATGATTGTTTTGGTTTTGTTCTAATGATTGTTTAATAGCCATATCGTAAGCATGACATGAGCAGGTTGTAGGCAATAGTTGTAGAAATAGTTGTAGTCAAAAGCACTGGCTTGTAAATCAGCCTTAATCATTCATCAATGCATTTATTTCTGTTCCTATTCTTCTAGTTATGGACCAGTGGTGATGATGCTGAAGAGAATCAAGCAGAGAACTAATAACTTTGTCACCTTTGTAGCCATGTTTAAACACAAGCTTAGCATTGTTGGGAATAACCATTGATTCAAGACCTAACTATATAGCTCATATAACTAGCTATGCTTTTGACGACTTCCATGTAGTATTAGTTGCAATTTCTCTTTTTTTTTTATTTTCACAAAAGAAAAGCTCCAAAGTATTTTACTTGGTCGTGTTATTTTAAGGGATGACCCCTGCTACATTGCAAACTATGTATTTTTTTTTTGTTATTTTTGTGTATTTATTGTTATAGGTTTTACCCTTGATGTTATGTTGTATAATCAATCATCGTTATAATTCCAGGCAGTGATATAGGAGTTATCATATGTAAAATAGAACTATGTACCGATAAATTTAAGAGTTCTTGATTGCAACTTGTAAGAATGTTGAATTTAGGATGATAATAGTGTTGTAAACAGTTAGATTTGTGTATGCAAATTCAGGGTTGGTAATAAAGTCAAACTGTTTTGACATCTTGAGTGAATAATGATATTAAAATAAACTTGACTGACTAATCCTGTAAATGGTTGGGATTTCAAAGGCCACACACAAATAATTTCTACCAGTTTGAATTGATGATACAATACAACATGTCCAACATTATTAGCTTTTTCCAGAAGCTAAATAGTTCAGTGACTTCACAGCTCAGTAACATACCGGTAGAATGCATCCTTTATCTGATAAATTCGGACAATGTGTGTCGCTTCTTTACTTTTGCAAAGTGGTGTTATTGTCTAAACTAAAGCCTAATTTCTAGTCATGTAAATGAAGAAACCCTCAATAAGAAGTCAACTTGTGTCAAAGTGAAGGGGTGGGAATTGGCCACCAAAAAAAAGGGATTTTTACCTTGTGAAGAGCTGATAAGGCTTTTAATACCACASTTTGCACTTTTAAACAACTTGTTGAGAGTTTGAATTTTTCTTGAGTTGAGGTGGCAAGCAGTGCCCATCTTTGGGAATTATGCTTAAAATTTTGTCAAACTGTAAAGTTCGGTTAAATTTATTTTAATTATTGTTCAAGACAGTTAGACTGATCATCTAGAATGGCAGCAATGTTTTTGTTTTTTTGATTCTTTATAATACTTTGATAAATTAATGCATGTAGAAATGTATTCTATCGTATTGTGAAATTTATGCATAAATTTTACAAAGTATTGGAGAACTCTCACTTTTTTAGAATAGAAAATAAATAAAATCCCTGCTGTATCTATGAAATTTCCTATCGCATTGTATGGAATTCAATTGATCATAACAATCTTCATGACCTGGAAATAGTCCAAAGACCCTGTGTCCTGAATTCTTCTGGATTGAAAGTTCATGATTTTTCAGATTGTTGCTCATGAATAGAATTTTTTATACCCTAGATAAAATAACCTCTGAATATTAAATAATTTTTACAGTTTGACTATTATATTTCACGGGTTTGGCGTCCTGCCATTCTAACAATCCTGGAAGTGAAACTAATAGAAAATGTCAGTTCACCACAGGAAACCCGCTGCTCGTCAAAAATATTCGGATCCCCGTGGCGCTAGATTTATTCAACCGTTTGGTTCGGCCATATTGGATTGTTCAATAATCGTTCTATTTGTAGACCTCTTTCGGCAGTTTGCAGCACCCAAATAGACATCTATTATGGCAGAAGAATTAAAGATGGTAGTTGAAAAGGCCAAGTTGGCAGAACAAGCAGAAAGATACGATGACATGGCTGCATCCATGAAGAAGGTAACAGAGCTCAACCCCAAACTATCGAAGGAAGAAAGGAACTTGCTTTCTGTGGCGTACAAGAACGTGGTTGGTGCCAGGCGATCATCTTGGAGGGTTATTTCCAGCGTTGAGCAAAAGAAAGCTGAAAAAGAAGGCGATACTGCAGAGAAAGAGAAGCAGATGGCTAGAGAATATCTTGAAAAAATTGAGAAAGAATTGAAGAACGTCTGCAATGATGTACTGGTGAGCATTTGAACGACTCTCGTCGCCCCACCCTGCACTGGTTCAACTCGGGTTTTATTCGTCAAATATAATGCCTAGAGTCCTCTGATAAATCTTTTAATCTATAGTCTTATTTGTGACTTTTCTCGCTTGACTTTAGGTGGTTTTAAATTCGCCTTAAATCGTTTACATGTACATTTTGCAGGCTTTGTTGGACAACTACCTTATCAAAGAAGCAAAGGATACAGAATCCAAGGTTTTCTTTCAGAAAATGAAGGGAGATTATCATAGATATTTAGCTGAAGTTGCTGCAGGCGACGAAAAGAAGGGTAAGGGAACTATTTTTCGAAAAAAACTAGATTTTTTTATGCACCAAGTTTACTTGAAGTACGCTTTTGTTTCAAATGTACATTTCTAAATTGGTGCTTTTGAAAATTTGCTCAAGCGAATTGGAGATTTCGCCGGATATCGTGATAAATGGAATATCCTATGTTAAGATTGTTTCCATGGTCAGAAAAATGAAATATTTTTAATCAAAACAAATCRTTTTGTGATCCAATGTCTGTACCAARTTTGGATGGGTGCTCTAAAAACTTTTGGATATTTCTTCTATTAAAAAAAACAAATTTCCTTTGATTTTTTTTTCATTTTTTTCTGAAAGTGGAATATCTATGGAATATAGATTCATTAGACGTTTAGACTTACCTTGGTAATTTTATGCTTCATTCTATGCAAAAAGCTAAATGTCATTTTGGCCATAAATATTGTCTAATGGCTATCAAAACAAAGGGATGATTGAACCAGATGTCTGATGTTTTTTACAAAGAAAAGATTATCCTAATGCATTTCTTTCACCTTCCTAAATACAACCCTACTAAATACTTTKTATGCTCTCAGCCATTTCACACATTTTGGTCAAGAAATTTGTGGCACCTTTMAAAAAATTATGTCATTGAAAAAAAAAWTTAAAGAAAATGTRAAATAGAAGCTCCAGAACTAATGCACAACTGAACAACAACATCAAACACACCAAATAAGCTTTTACACACTTRAARTACACTGAAAACACAAGTTTTCTTATTTTGTGTTGGTTTTGATATAAACAGAAGTATGAGGTTCAATTAAAATAATTTTAATTTCCTTTACTTGCATATATATTTAAGTTTTCACCAGTTAAGTTAATTCTTAATTCCAGTGGTTTCCTAATTTGTTTTTTTTGCAGTATAATGTTGACTGTTGCACCTTGACAATTTCAACTTTTGTATCACTGGTTTATAAGTGTGTTTTTTAATAAAATTTGCGAAGAAATATGGAATTTCTTTACTATGRATTGSTTTTGTAATTTGTAATTTGTAAATTTATTTTTCATGCTCTTCAAATGGTAGAGTTTTCAACAATATGCATTAAAACATTTTTTGTATGTAAAAACTTCGTTGTTCCATATGATATTGACTTAATTTATCTTATTTGATTACCCTTGAAATATTTCTCTTTCTTTAACAAGAGATTTGATAATAGGAAAATTGAAAATTGGATGAAAAACACACTGATTTTATAAAAATTTCCTTATATGCCACCATGCAGAAGACTATTTTCAAGTAGCAGAATATGTTTTTTTATTTTTTGAGTGGAAATATAAAGATTGTGTTGCAGATAAATTCCTAATTCACTATTTCCCATTTTGCTTTTTTCACTTTTTTAAAAAATCAGTTGTAAATGAAGTAATGTTATTTCTTCAGATGCTGTTAAAAAGGCAAATGAAGCATACGACGGTGCCAAATCCAGTTCAGATGAACTAGAAACAACCAATCCTATCCGCCTGGGTCTTGCTCTAAACTTTTCTGTGTTCTACTATGAAATCTTGAATGACAAAGGGAAAGCTTGYGAATTGGCGAAGAAAGTAAGTAAAAAATTATTCATATTTTATATCTTGAAACAATATTAAATCTATATATTTTATTATCTAAACCATATACTCATTAGAGTTTAGAAGTTCTCAGAATAGAAGATGATGACTCTTTGAATTGATTGATTTAATTTCTCGCAAGCTGACTTGAGACTTGATTACACTACTTGTATTACATAGGAATCTACAGTAGGGACAACTGTAATGTCAACAAACAAAACTTTGTAGCTTGACATGTTCATATGATTCTCCAGAGTGCTTATTTCCAACTTTTCTAACAAAACAGTTTAGAAAAAATGGTATATATTACTCAACAAAAAACCTTACTTAATTTATACAGATATCTATGAAAGATCATAATAATAATTATATTTTGTGTATTTAGGCTTTTGATGATGCAATTGCYGATTTGGATTCTGTTGATGAGGAAGGTTATAAGGACAGTACCTTAATAATGCAACTATTGAGAGATAATTTGACTGTAAGTTGAAAGTACATCATAAAGCAGTGTTATGGATTGAAATATGTGCTGATGTTGTAGGGTACAATATTCCAGTTTTGAATTCATAGCGAAAAACCGCTGCTTTATTTGAGAACAGATTCTCTTGCGCAAAAAGCTGACCAAACACAAAAGAGACCTTGAGATAATGTCTTTATTACAATAGCCATGACAATTTCCTGAGTTTAGACTAACCCTGTATTCCCATAAGATCTAAGGTATGAGCCTTCTGGGAATACAGGATTAGCCTCAACATGGTGAGAATGTAAATTGTTAGCCCTATTGTACTAACAACATTTTCTTGTGCTTTCTTTTGTGTTTGGTAATTTGTTTTTTCTTAAAAGAAACTGCTGTCAAATAAAACAGCGGTTATTCACTTTGAATTCGAAAATGGAGTATTTGAAGTTACACTAGGCTCTGTAAGTAACCAGAATTACCAAAGCAAAACAAGTTACTCCATAAAATAACTGTTGTTTACATTACTACATGGTCAGTCTAGATAAAACTACAAATAGCAATAGAMTGGTGGTCCAATTACAGGTTCGTTTGAAAATTTTGATTGACAGCAGTCTATTGTTTGACTGCACTAAATGAATTTTTCTGGGATAGTCACGTAGCAGTGCAAACAATGGCAAGGACTCATATTCAGCTGCCTTGGACATGTGTCCATCCTTAATACTCCACATAATTCTTTTTGATTTAATTTATTATTGCTTGGTGACCATCCAAGGGTTTTATAGTAAGGTATCATTTAATAATACTGATTCTTTTTTTTTTTTTTTTTTTTTTTTTTTTTTTTTTTTTTTTTTTTTTTTTTTTTTTTTTTTTTTAAATAATACTGATTCATTTATATTTGTTTTACAGCTTTGGAACTCAGAAGCAGATGATCAAGCTGAATAGCAGACGTTTATGTAGTATTACCTCTAAGGTGTTATTTACAGGCAACCCATCGTCACTGCTATCATACAGTAAAACCACCCCTATGTTCACTCTTTCTGTATAATAATGAAAAAAACAGATTTTTCTTGGTATTGTTGTATATATTAACCATGCACTGAATTTGATTTTAAGACATTTTATTGATGAACTTTGGMCATGCGCATGCTCACCTTAAGATATATTCTCTGTGGACCATCAATAAGGAAGGCTGTTTCTTGACAAGAAAACAAACGCCTTTTTCTTTTGATGGTCAACACAAAATCACTCTGATGGTAAGTGYTTTGAAGTAGTGAGGATGCTCAATATGTTTGAACGTTCTGCAATAAAATGACCTAGAATCAAACTTCTGTGGCTGCTAAACACAGCTATACAATGATGASCCAGCYTCGCTTGTTTTCCTTTGCTTCTTCTTACACTAATGGATAAGGAAAATTACTCTAGAAAACCAGTATTAGTAATGATATTTAAAAGCCAATCACTAGAGTAATTGTCACAATTCTGACATTTATTTAATGCTGATATATGTTGGGAGTCTGCATTGTTTTCTACTGTTCAAAATTTGGTATTTGTAGTTAGTTTCGTGAGTGATTCTAAAAGATTATTGAATGAAAATTACTGGTAGTTATTGATGTTAAATGATCCCTTTTAGATTMATGAATGCAACTTTGTTTGAGATAGAAATCAAAAGTTTTAACTGACAAGAAAGCTGCTTAGAATCACTTTCAATGTAGCAAAAGCAACTTAATAGAGTTGTTTTCATTTAATCGTGAAACAAAAATTCCTATTTAGTTGGTATTTGTAGATAAAGAACAAAAGAAAGCAAATTAGATTCACTGCTGCTATTATTCTCACAAAACTTTCACAGTCGAATGAAAACTCTATGTAACTAAGTTTGTAGTCTACACTATAAAATGCTTGTCACTTATCTGCAATAAAGCCTATCATCTAACTGCAATTTATTTCWTAGTACAAACTAGTTCACCCTTGAAGTAGAGYGAGGTCATTAAACCTGTGAAACAAAACTTGACTATTAAAATGTGATRGTCAAATAGGTACAAAAGAATGCAGTGCAATAAATTAGATCATTATAAGATGTAGTAGTGCAATATCTATTTWGCAGGTTTTTTTCACTTCACTCTATCTTATTATCTTTGAACTTTCTTTCTTGTTTCGGCCTTCTTAGTTAATGATAATCAAATACTTTTTAGTACATGCCAAAAAGTTTCAYAAATACAACATGGTGTGCACGTTTAGGTTACATATAGGGATTATATGGAATGTAGGGTGGTTTTATCTGCAAAAGGTTGCCAGCAATGACTTATTTGTTATACAAATTTGAGTAACGGTTATAGTAAAACAACAATACACTATGCTTCTTGAGTTTTCTCTGTGTTTAAAAATGTTTTCCTTTCCTCAAGTGGTAGTTTTTCCTTTGTTTCTGTAACTTAGACAAACAATGAACAGTGCTGTACAGTTCTATTTCCACAAAGAAACATCCTCTAAGGGACTTTTGAGATACATTTGCTTGGTAAATCACCAGTCCTAGATAGAAGCAAAGATTACACACTCTCTCCCTGCCTAGTGTTCAACTGGTGCCAGTTATATGAASGGTTGATAAATCCTTATCCAGCGAATGCAGATAAAACCTGATCGAGTATAACTTTATCCACTCTTTGTATATCAACCGGCACCTGAGTGAAGGGGCAGCCATTTTTACCTTACTACTTTCTGRCACAGAAATTTCCAGTCTTACTGGTATTCCCATGTGGTATGAAYAACAATGAATGAGACAGCATAATACATTATGCCTGCAAAAAAATCCCTGATTCTTTGCTGGTATATGTTTATGTTTGGAGCAAGCAGGTGGGAGCAAAGGAAGGGAAGTTTGATTTGTCTTTCAGTGGTAAAATGTTATCACATTAATAGGGTCATACAATGCAACAATCTGTCAAAAACATGAAAGTTGTGTTTACTTTGTAACATTATTTTTGGGTTATTTCTGTTTTAAATTGATTTTCTACATATTTTCTGACGTTTTCAGTCTCAGAAAAAAGAAAAARGAAATCTATTTTGATTTTATAACTAATTTCACATCACAATCATTTTTCATTTTATTTTTCTTTCATTTTTTGCTAAATTTGGATTGAAGAGTAGTTATTGGGCTTCCTGTGTTTGTACGGGTTTTTTCGGCCATCTTGGATTGCCTCGTCGCTGAATTTGTAAGACTTTATTGTCGCATTATCAGCTGTACAGACTTCCAAAATGTCAGGATCAAGAGATGAGTTAATATCGAAAGCAAGATTGGCCGAACAGGCAGAAAGATACGATGACATGGCCGCAGCTATGAAGAAAGCAACAGAAATCGACCCGAAACTCCAACCGGAAGAAAGAAACTTGCTTTCTGTGGCGTACAAGAACGTGGTTGGTGCCAGGCGATCATCATGGAGGGTCATTTCTAATTTAGAACAAAAGAAAGAATCCACTGAAAGGGAGAAAGAAATGAAAAAGGATTATCGCGAGAAAATTGAGCAAGAACTCAAAGATGTCTGTAATGATGTACTGGTGAGTTTCGCCCCACCCTGAATCGTCTTACTATGTCGGTGAATATCTTGAAATCTGCTACTTTAACACCTTAGATTAACACCAAATTAAAGAGACAAGCTTTGTATTGCTCYGATCATCTTCTGAAGGTCTTAAAATCACCGAAACCTTTGAAAATTATCATTTTTCCAGAGTCTGTTGGACAACTACCTGATCGCTAAAGGTGACGAATCGGACGTAGAATCAGCTGTGTTCTTYTTGAAAATGAAGGGAGATTATTACAGATATTTGGCTGAGGTTGCACGTGGCGACGAACGAAAGGGTACGATAGCATTTAAAGTATTTAACATGAATTTAATTCGAGGAATTTTAGTAAAAAATTGTAATCAAATTTCAGACGGCACARGCTGTGCTGTGCTATAGGGGTGTTCGATGCATCGGATTTATTCTTTCCAAGTTGATTGTACAAATTATCCTTTTTTGACAAACTATTTCCAYAATAATACAACATAAACAAGAACTGATTCCACTGCAAAGCCTAAAATTATCATTTGTTTGAGAAAGACTTTGAATTCTTGAAAGGACATGTCAGACTGCATTTACTCGGGCTTCAAAATTTTGAACCCCTTATCTTGTCACTCAAAAAATGAATTTACTACTATCTTTCATTGTTTCACAGTTTTAATGTTCTCATTGATTTATCTTGTKTTYCAGAGGCTGTAGATAAGTCAAAAGAGTCATACGGCCAAGCGCTGGACAAATGCACAGGCTCAATGAAACAYACAGATCCAATCCGCYTGGGTCTTGCTCTAAACTTCTCAGTTTTCTACTATGAAATCTTAAATGATCAAGACAAAGCATGTGAATTAGCTAAAAGTGTGAGTAATCATAATCCTAATTAACTGGAAACCTCTGTCTATAAGATACAATCTAACCTCTTTTGCAGAAAATATAGACCTTTAGCATCAGTAACAAAATGACAAAAAAACAGTGCATCCGTACGCAGCTATGATAGTAGTAAGATATAGAAATGAAAGAAAGTTATAGTGCTTAGAAGGAGGCAATTCCGGGAGAAGTCCCTTAGGAATAAATTCGGAAAAATTAATTTCCGACCTCGCTGGGATTTGAACCCATGATAGTAGTAGGAATGCGCACAATTAAATGATGAACCACATGCTCCACTACAATATAGGCGGACAACTGTATAGAAAATGTGTATTCATTTTGGGATGATGCTTTCCCCAAACTCGGAGAGAGATTACTTTACAAGTAATATATATTACAAGCAAATGCGATTATTAAAATATTTTATACCCCCTTAAGAGTGAACATTCTATTGTGAATGATTCTACTGCTTTAAACTCAATATCAAAAGCGGAGTGTACATAGTTATGCGTCTAGTTTAAAAGTAMATTTTATTGTTGTAGGCTTTTGATGAAGCTATAAAAGAACTGGACAGTGTACCTGAGGATGTCTACAAAGACAGCACTCTTATTATGCAGTTGTTAAGAGATAATTTAACAGTAAGTTGAAATGTTGATGATTCATTGGTCTTTCTTCCTTGCATTTTTTCATTCTTCATCAATATATTTCTTCATAGTTTAACCATCTATTCATATATTCATTTTTTCAGTCAGTTTATTTATCATTCAGTCAGTCAAACTGTCATTTGTCTTTTTTTCATTTGGTCAGTCATTCAGCTCTTTTCATTCATTAATAAGTCATTCATTCAGTCAGTTATTACATCTCTCATTCAATCAGTCAGGAAGTCATTAAGTCAGTCATTCATCAAGTTAGCTATTCCTTCAGTCAATCAGTCTGTCTGTCTGTCTGTCATTCAGTCATTCAGTCAGTTTGTCTGTCTGTCTGTCATTCAGTTGGTCATTCATTCCCTCAGTCATTCATTAATATTCAGTCAGTCATTCAGTTGATCTTTATGTCTTTCCTCATCTATTGACCATTTAATCTCCCATTCCTTCATTTGTTCCCATTTTCTTTTTTCTAATTCCTCTTCTTTTTCTATTCAGTTGTGGAGCAGTCAAGGTGATGATGATGTACAAGAGGAGGATTAGACTCAATGTTGTAGAATGACAAGCATAGTTCTTGATCCTAAATGCATAAAGTTCCTCATGATAGTACCACACAATTTTTGATAACTAGGATTCACTTTTCTTCTCTTCGGCTATGATTTTAAAGAGTTCTGGGATGTTTTTATTGCGACATACTAGAAGGTGATCTKGTAACTGAACTAATTATTATAAGTTACAATATCATCAAAAACTATTTTGTCAACTACACTTTTGATCAAAAATCAATAACACTTTGAGGTATTTGAAGTAATTACAACTAGTCACATCATAATCAAAAACTCTTATCARTGGAAATAAACTTTCAATCAAAATTCAATAACTACTTCAGGTTTTGCTTGCTCATTCTGTAATAAGCAAGCAGGCACTAGGATTATAAAATGTGTTATGCAAATTGGCAATGATTGTGTGGTTTTGTATGACCCAATGTTTCCCCACGGCTGATGATGTGGCTATTGAAGTATTCAAAGTATGTTTGTAATGAAAATGTTGTGTTCTGGTGATTTTATTAAATTTTTCCTCAAAAGTCTAGATTTATTCCACAGCTTGAATATAAATTGTACTAAATCTAGTATCAGATTCTCTGTTCTTCTGGATTTCCTCTTTCACTTTTGTTCCCAGTTTACCTTTGTTCTTACTGGCACAGGAATCCCATTTCTAAMGTTGGCATATGTCGGGTTAGATATTACATCAGGATTGTAATTGTACATGTCTGTAATTTATTTGACAAGATTGAGGGTAGGCCATTTTATGTACAGTTGGTTCTGAAAATGCATTCAGATGAAACGACATTTTGACATCACTTGCATAATCATTTTTCATATCGTCTATAGTACCCAAGAGAGACATGCCATTCTTGTTTCCAGACTCTCCTCGTTCTCCATCTGAGGCTCTGGATCAAGCTACACACCTACAATATTTACAAAGCTCTACAGAGTTTCCCAGAGCCTTAGATGAAAGCAAAGGAATTYATTTGAGGTTCTAGTTGGTCAGACAATGCTGACACCTTTTACTAATTGTACAAAAGAGTTTAAGTATTTGGTTCTGGAACGTCTAAAATGCCATTGTCTGAATATCCCAGTTTCATATTCTACTTTGAGCAGACCCCTTGTAGTTCTGTGGCTTGACTGATCTGGGGGGCAAGACGATGGACGATGGACCTCTCTTGTGACCATAGGCCATTTGTACAGCATTCACATGCCAATATGAAGGGGGACTAACTTGACTGAATAATGGCTCCCTTACATGTTACCTAAAGTTGAAAAGATCGAAAACGCTCTCTCTTGGATGCTATATAATCCATTGTTTTGTCCCTTCAATGGAGCGACAGTATTCCACTGAACTACAAGAGGTCTGTTTATGATGACGTYGTCTTGTTTTGTAGAGCCCAGTCCACTTGGTTGAGCTCTCAGATCGACACTGATTGATCCCCGTTTATCTCTTTAGATTCCCTTTTCTTTTTCTTTTTCCGACCTTAATAAATCAAAAGTGAATTAATGGCTTTCTTGACCAAATATTTTACGAATATGTCATAACTTCATGTACTTTCTTTCATCCTTTTTTCGTTCTTTCATCCGTTTTTCGCCGCGTTCTTAATTTCARTTCCTGTTCGCAGGGTTTTGTTATATGTCTTATATAGCTACTTTAAAAATGGATGTCGGCGATGCAACCATTCGCAGTTTGAACAGTGACTCAGGAAAGAAGTTATCTTAAAAGTAATAGTGGATATCAACTTATGATATAATTTGCATACGATTAATGGCCCACGTGCATCCGACATCCTTTGCGCGGTTTTCTCACATACGAAAATTCTTYATCTTTGATTTTGATCCTTTCTGTTAAATCAAAAAGGACGATGGCAAAGGTTCCCGRATACTGGTGGGTTTAAAATTGCCTATTGCCTTGGTAGGGTCTCAYGATCGTCGTTATCTCCGATTTCGTTCTAGTTTACTAGTTATTTTTCACTTTATTAGAATGAGGTCAACAATTCCATGTTTTCTTTAGTGTCTATTTGACTAGAGTGGTTTTCTGATTGACTGCACAAAATATAGTACTACAAGAACCAACCCTTTCCTTGCAATAAGCATGACATAGAATAGCTAGAAAAACCAGTACTGCTATTAAAAAAAACTGACGAATTGAAATCTTGTGGTATCAGTACTTCACTCGGAGAGCAATGCGTCCGCCATCTTGAAAAGTGAGACCGGAATCACTACGTTGTGCCTTAGAACACATTTTGTAGTTGCTAAGTCAACTAATCTATCATATATCGCGTGTAAAAATAACTTGACATTAGCTGAGAAGTTTTTAAATCCTTTAGGAGTTATAATTTAGTGATTTGAGTCCCACTTTAGCTTTTCAAGATGGCGGACGCATTGTTCTGCGAAAGTACTGATACACGTATTCGTTATACGTCCACGGCCGCGTTTGGCAATTACCCTAGCTTAAAAAGCTTAAAAGCTCCATTTACTAAGAGTGCTCGTTTAATTACTTAAAGACATGTCATTTTTTCTTGTATTAGATCACTATCAAGGTTAAAAGACAGAAAATTACTACTGATGCTAAACAAAATCAATATAAACTACATCTAAAGGAAAGGAATTTATGGAATAAATGCTCAATGATAAACCGAAGATATACTCGCACTCAGAGAACTTTTGGACAACTGAATGAGAAAGATGTTCCATGTACGTACTTTATTGAATTAATGTTCTAATTAGAATGGCCTTTTCAAGGTCATTAACTATATTAGTCTTTTTKCTAGTTTGACTAATTGGTTCAGGAAAATCAAAATCAGAATCATCTGTGCTTTTAATCCTAATATAGCATTTCTTGTCATATAATTACAACATTAAAATAGCTTTCAATGGCTTTTTTGCACTGTTTTTTGGGGGGTACGTGCTCTTTGCCTTCCTGGATTATACAATCACTCATTGACCTCATTATTTTTTTTGTTCCTGGTCATTCCTGGAAAACTTTGTTATAATTTTAWTGCAGTCACCAGCAGTTGGACAAATGTAAAATTTTCAGTGTGGCTTCTTCTCAATAAAAATTCAAAGAACGACTTTTTCAATAAGGATGATTTTTGGAAAGGTTTATAGTGATTAAAATAAGTATGAGCTTATCGTTTTTTAACGTTTATCGTTTTTCCGCCCGATGTCTCCGGATTCTTAATTCCCAATAATCATTTCCATGTAGCTTAGTTCTTCAAAATCATTGGCTACAAAGTACAAAGTTCTTCAAAGCCAACGACAACCATCAACWACGACAACAACAACAACGACTGTCACMAAGCAAAAACAAAACAAAGAAAAATACAACAAAAAGTTAAATTTACATGGATTTCCGCTTGCTGCTATAAAWAATCATATGTCTATATAATAAGCCAATGCGCGTAAATTAACACAAACGAATTATTCACAAACACAAGGTTTGCTATAATGACACTTCAAACAAGAATATATTCAACTCGCTAATTCAAAGTCTCTCACACTCTCAAAATATTAACTTTCTTACCAACTCGAACCATCTGGACTAGGGGGACGAGAAATATGGATAGTTTCTTGTTCTTCATCCTCGGAAAAGATCGGTAGAAGACTCTGGCGCGGGGAAAGCAGAAAGCTCTCAGGGGGATATTTGACAAATGATAATTGTTTATCTCCCGCCGCAGGAGACGTGACAAGATAGGTTGTAGGAATTACAGGCAGGCTGGACTGTCTTCGCAATTTGATTCTGAGCTTATCGGTCCAGTTTCCATTCCCGACGCGACTCTGCTTCCGTAGCGATTTGTTTTTTATATTGTCCTGTTCTGTTTTCTTTTCGCTGTCATTWTTCGACTCGCCTTTCATGATATTTTTGTTGTCTTTCTTATCAACATCTTCTTTTTGTAGTGTAGTGTGTCTTGATTGTAGTTTTCCTATGAAAGGTTCGTTTACTTTATAAGGCTGAGGACGAATTATTGGGTTGTTCTGAGTCGAAGATCGGAGGATTTGAGTTTTCGCGGAGTACGGTGGCGCTGGGATCACAATAGTAGTTGGTTGCAAGGTCGCCTTTTTGCTCTGAAATAATTGTTTTTGTTGCTGTAGTGACTCCCCTTCAAAAGCATCTCCCTTCCTTAACAATGACCCTGTACTCGACGCCCGCTGTAATGTTGGTGTTTTGGAGAGATGTTTATTGAGAATAAAACCGCATTTCGGACATTTTGGGATCTTATTTTTCAGTGCTGCTTGATCTTTCGTTGCATTCAACAGCTCTTTAAAAGGAGTAACTCTCGGTTGATCCTTCAAACCCGAATAAAATTTTTTTTCGTTTTCGCTTCTGTTAAAAGCTTGAGACACTTTGTGGAGAAGTCGTTGAAAACAGGACTTGTGGAACTCCGGCGCGTATACCATGGCTGTCTTAAAATCATGAATCAGAGCGTCAGCTAGTAAAAGTTGTTTTTTAGCGCTTCCATGAACCCCACGGTCACTGCGTCCATCTCTGATAACACCAGTATAATCTACAATCTCAGTAAAATAAAACTGTTCCGGCAGTGGATTTGGCATAAAATAACTTGGTTCTCGGACTCCGATCACAGGCACTCCATAAGCCTTTGCTATGCCTAACTGGTTAAGGTAAAACGTGTCGTTCACCGTTTCCTTACTAAATATGAAAATAAAAACATGGCATCGTGTTATTGTGGTGTAAAGTTCAGTTTTATCAAAATTGCTATCGATAGTATCGACAACAGGATGGCTTCTCACTGAATACAGCGATGCTAGGTTGCCGAGAATCAAGCACTTGGAGTTCACATCTTCCATTCGATTTGATGGGAATTCCCCGCACAAATAGATGATTTTATCTGTCATTTTAACGCTTTTCCAGGATATATTCAAGGTTATTTCTTTACGTTGTCAAGCCAGTTCTTGTTTGTTTGCTGTTCCCTTAAGAGCGACGAAAAGTGATGTGTCACTTTTTGCTAGCTCACTTGAAAATGAAGCGCTCAAATCTTTCTTGTAAGAAAATCCTTAGGACTGTCAATGATTCTCGATGATTCCTTCAGTGCGCAGGATCTTTCTATGTTTAGCTTCTGTTGGAAACAAATTGTAATTGAGTCATTAAGAGCAGTAACTTAAGGAAGCATTACAGAACAAGCCCCCTTTCCTTCTTACGAGATCGTAAACACAGGCGCGTGTAAAAGGTTAAAATGCAACTGCTTTCGATTTAAATACAGAAATTCCTTTGACACCCAAAGCGTTTGGGATTAATGTCAATTGCCTTTGGGTTAAAAAAATGCTGTGCATCTATGATGCCAAGAGTAAAGACTGATTGGGTTTCGTCTAAAAATTTCAAATTCAATTTGGCAAATAGATTTTGGTCCAATAGCACAGCGAAATGATTTGCAATTAGTTTCTTTCTATTGTTAACTCTACAAGTCATACCGTCAGCCCCTGACACCGAAAGATTGACTACAAGAATATTAAAAAAAGTAGACCTTTGTTTGCTTATTGCGATACGAGAAAAAATACACATAGCTTAGAGTGAAAGACGCTATGGAAATCGAGATTGTAGTTTGTTGAACGGAGTTGCACCTGGCGCGGGAAAACACGATACTCGCACTCAAGAGGAAACTAAGAAGAAAACATGAGAAGACTGAGAAATCTTACCTTAAGGCTACTTAATTGACGTGTAAAACTGAATGTCTTTTTGAGCGAGGAAAGGACGTTTGCTTGAGCAAAGTCGATTTTGTAATATGAGAAGGAAATGGCACTTTTCCCTTAGGGAACAAAGGAAACTGCTTCAGTGGACAGAGTATGGCTGATGGTAGATAGCTTACCARTGGATCGATATATGCCAAGAACTAGGCAGTGTCTGCTCTTTTCACTGAATAGATACCTCTGTTAAGATCTCTGTTGATCAAGTTTACGAATGACGCCCACCATTTCACATTAGCATATAACTTGTACTTATAAATTTACCGAACAAAAGTCCAGCCATCTTGCAGGGCTTTTCAATTTGAAATTGTGTTGAAATTGCGMATGGAACTGTTTTTTTAGGACAGAATTAAWAAGTGAAAAAAAAATCAAAGAATTTCAGACGTGTCTCTTTTTCAAGAGRCCAACATTGTCTTCCCAAATGTCAATTTTTGTGCTAATTTTGTAAAAATTTTATCTCTTTGTTATTGTGCCATGGAGTGAAAAGGCAATACTGTTTGTCCATCAGCGCGTGTTATTGGTCTGGCAGGCTAACAATACTGCAGCAATATCAACGATCGAATAACATTTCAATGGTTTCTTTAAAAGGAAAATTGAAATCATTTAAATCGACTTATTCGATTTTCTAGATGAATTTTTTTCGATGGTTATTATAAAAACCTACAATATCAACTGGACGAGGAATACTTGCATTTCGCAATTTGTTACAACTGTATCAGATCGCAGTCGGAGCCTGGTCGCAAAAAAAGAGATAAATTCTTGGTTTTCGTTCTTTTGCGTAGTGAATCTCACACATCAATCTGATTTCCTTTCATACTACTCAGAACGTCCTCATTTGTATTCAGACTTGTTCTTGTAATTGTTTGAGATATATAAAGACAGGTTGTCACTAGATGAATAAGTCTTCAATGTCACAAAAGAAGACTGAGTCTGCTATGTCGCTAAAACAGGTTTCGTAGAATGAGCGCTATCATCCCAGTACAACATTAATTTCAAAATGACGGAAATTTCCATGGGTACAAAAAGCCTACAATTCTCATGTTAATCAATTTATTTAAGCGTATTTTTTAATTTGAAGCGTTAAACATTATTGTTTCCTACTTGATATTATATGTAAATGATTTTCGCCGTTGTCAAGGGCTACAACCAGCCGTTTCTAGGCAATTTATGAATCTAAAAGCAAACAATCTTTCTTGATTTATTTTTTCTTTAGCGCAACTAATAAATCTATGAGCCAGTTAAAGTAATCGCTTTATGATTTATGTTCTTGCCTTTTAGATGTGTTATTTATAGAAAGGAAACTGATATCTTTATCGAGTCAGTTTGTTGATATTCATCACCGCGCAAACTTCAATGTCGTCCTGCGCAAGATAAGTCTCTACTGCTTGATTTTCGATTATAGTAACAACTTATCCCTTGGGGGCTGGCCCCGGGAGAAGAAATCTTCTTGGCTTGGTATCCCTGTGTAATTTTCACTTATGCTAATATCGCTCAGGTGTTCGTTTTGTTACGAAAAGTAATGAAATATGCACACACACACAAAAAAAAACACCTTGCTCTGAAATATTTTAGCATTTCATTTTTCTAATATATCAAATTATTGTACAATATTTACAGCATATAACAACATTTTGAATGTAGAAATGGCAAAAAGACAACAAAAAGCTCAAATAATAAAGCTCCCATGCTGGGATTCGAACCCATGACAATTAATTCTAAAAATAATGGGACTATTTCCCRGAACATTAATTTTCCAAAGCTGAGTCGTCGAATCCAGTTTTAATTCATTTAGCGGATTTCGGCTCTTTTTTTCAACTTCGCGCCACGCCCCTAAATGATTCGCGGAAACTATCAAAATTTAGATCAATGTTCTCTCTAAAAGTAGAACTTTAGTTGATCTAGTCTTGATATCTCGTAAAGATTTTCTTCAGTCATTCTGTCTCCTTCTGCTGGTGACCATAATCCTTGGCTTTATAAAAAGAACACAATAGGACGTAATTATGCCATAGGGTAACTGGAATAGTCTCATTCGGTGCCAAGCGGTCTATTTTTTTAGTTAAAGTTATTAGAAAGAGGGTTACTCCAAAGGGAGTCCACATATCCATATTTTTATGTAAAGGAGTATGGWGTGGTGTGGTGCAGTTTCTACGGCCCAAACTCTCTCGGAACGGTTAGGAACGCCTGGCTACGCAGGCTAAAACCCCCGTTGTCTTCCAATCCAACGGTACGGTGGTMGTAAAGTCGAGGGATCGAGTCCCACGAAAGGACGAGTAGATACATGTCTCTGCCAGATTAAATTTTCTTATCTTTTCTTTCATTTCTCCTAATTCTTTTGGGTAAGGCAATCATCATCCCTTTCCGTGAAACAGGAATAAAAGGACCGCATGTGCATAACTAATTTAACTCAAATGATGATTACCCAAAATACCTTCCTGTCTTTTTAATAGCTCCGACGGTTGTAACCGACAACTGATTTTCAGCATCAGTAGAAAAATAATGAAGAAAAAAGAAGGAAAACAAAACAAAACCTGGAACAAATAAAAGGTCTACTTGAAGTTGGTAAATTAGCTTCGTGTTTATTTCACAGTTCAGTGAAAACCACCCATATTAACGGCACGTCCACAGCAGCGCATACTATAGTATAATAAACTAAATCATCAAGGCAAGGTTCCGGCGTACGCCTTAATTCAATGTTCAAACTTTACGACAGGAGTTCAGGAAAACCATTGTTTAGTGCAAAATTTATTCAGTTGTTTGCCTCGGTACTTAACTCAAACATCATTTCTCACACTAATTAAAGTTGTAAGCTATTGTTGATGTTTGTTTAACTGGCTTAAAGAGAAAAGAAAAGAAAATCAAACAAAAAGCACCAATGAACCGTGGACGGAGTTTTATCCCGACAACTCTTAGCTGTGMAATTAGTTTCTGGCTTCATTAGCAGAGTGTTGATAATAACACTCGAAAAATAACATGTATTTGTCTAAAAACAGTCAAAAATACGATGTTCTACTCTTACCCTGCGAGCAGAGGAATTTTCCACCCCCTTCTACGAAGAAGATAGGGGAAAAATTCCTCTGCTCGCAGGGTATTCTACTCTTGAATAAAATAAAATTCAGTTTTTGGATTTTCTAGTTAAGGAATTCACGATTTTTGCGCGCATCTTTGTCATGCCTACAGAAATTGAATGGTGTTTTTGTTTTAATCAACGCAAAAAGATGCCAATTAACTAAGGAGCATTTAAGCTACGACAGTATTTTTCGCATTTGGAAAACATTTCTTAGAAAAGATTCTAAATCTTATAAGAAAATATTGAAAATTCGAAGTATTTCTTTGATGCGCGCGCGCTTGCGGTAAATTAAAACTCGGGCTCCATGGCAACCGTGCGATTGTTAGCTCACAGACCTCGCGTATCAAGTCAAAACTACTTTGAACAAACAAAGCTTGCAAACTCGTTTTGTCATAAATCTCTTTGTAAATAACATCCAAACTCTAATCTGTCTACGGGGYAAGCTATGAGCCTGACTAGCAACRGGGAATTAGTTTACAATGAAAGAATTCGCAAGGCAAGTCAGGGWTACGTTASTGAACTCAGTGAACGATTCCTTCACAGCTCCACGACATCTTCACCAGAAGAACTTAGAGTTGAGGTCACAAAGATGTCGGCCAARAAAGCWGAGGAATTATTTTCTACTGAGGAGGAACGTAAARTGTGGATTGAGTCAATACGATCATCAGTTGAACAGAGTTTGCAGAATCAAGTCAGRGCCGTTCTTGGCACCCCACCAGAAGTCAAGAAGAAACGRCTGCACGAAAAGAAAACACAAGAAGATGCAAATAAAATKAACACTAGAACTTCAAAACAAAACACAGTGAACTCTAAAGAACGTAATTATATATTCCTTAAAGATTCTGATCATCGGTTTAAGTTTGATAAAGATAAACAGCTAAATGACTTCACATACGARCCMRGCTCACCATCAGGAGCACAAAAGACGACTTCGTTTGTTGATCCGTTATCAGATGACTTTAACAAGATATTCAGTCCTTACACAAGAGCGGCATTAGAGAACATTAGTGTTGGATCATCAAGTAATCATATTCCTCGCAAACCTCTTCAAAAGCCTTACCAAAGGGCTCCCGGAACTGTTTGGACAGACTGTCAAGGCACAGAGCACGAACTCGCAGGACCATTTTGGCCTAAAGATCATCTTCCACTGTATTCAAACCARAAACACATACAATATGTCCCCAAATCACCTGAACCACTTCACTCTACAGGTARTTTTACCGMCAGACAAGTTTATTGTCGTATTTTTTATCCCTTTTATAAATCTGAGAGCAAAAGCGTGACTAGGGGTTTGTGATATCGGCCTGTCTGCCTATGTACAGTTACAATACAAACAGTACCAAATGATATTTGCTTAAACTCTTAAGGTTCACATTTTACTTGACTTTAAATTGTATTTAGTAGCTACTGGTTATTTTGATGTTTGTGTTAAGTAAATCGCGTGGTGCTTATTATCGTCTGTTCTTTGTTTACAAGTTCAAACTGTTTTTCGTTGTGTTTAAATTCAATGTTATGTGTACGTCCTGCGTGTAATGGCAAAAGCTTGCTCGGAGGAGTCACTAATTAAGACGACATAACGTTAATGAAGCTGTTATGTTTAATAATACATCGGAAACCTCTTTTTTGGGACAATGGAAAAACTTAGTACAAATTGAAACATTTTTAAAATCTTTTGAAGCAAATTTAAAAATAAAGTGAAATATATTTATTGAAATATATATTTTTTTGAAATGCATCATATATTTCATAAATTAATCGATTTCATCCATTTCTGGCTACACATCAAACTACATTTTTTTAAATGGAAATATAGCTTTTAAACTTACATGTTTATTAGATTATATTTATTTTTGTTAATATCTATACTTAAGTATTATTATTTTTGTCTGGAGTGACTGTAACCCATGAAACACTAATAAATGATTCCCATCATAGAAAGCCATCAAAATAATGTCTGCCACTAACTAGAGGTTCCATTGTTAATATTTCATGAAACAACACTTGCATTAATTAAGTATTGTACAGGCAAAACTTTCACTAACAAATCAGTTAATTAAATCAATGCAATTATTTTTCTAGGTACTCAAACAGTCGTCAAGGACGATGACTTGGTTCTCTTTCCAAGACCATGGAAGGGAACATCTATTGTGTATGATAGAAATAATGTTAAGGTATTAAAATAAGTTTTATTTATTCATAGTATGTACAATACAGGAAAGTGAGAAGAGCATATAGAATGAGCTTGATGGGAGAAGTTCTTGAATGCTGTCTCTCCACTTTTAAGAGCGTCATATTATTTGCCTTAATATGATAGTTTTATAATTTTTTCAAACATAATTAAAAGTATTGCATATAAATTTTTTCAACAGCTTTGCCCCACTGCACCAACAGGATGCATTCCTCATCTAAAGTTTGAGTCTCGGTTTGAATGTGGAAATCTCCAGCAGGCCAAGCGAGTGTAAGAATAGTCTTGATGTCTCTTAATTAGCATCCAAAACACAATAATTATACTTCAATGTACTTGTGGGTAGTATATCGATACTAAATGTGATGTAAGCCTTTGTTATTCGTGTGCGAACCAGAAGACTGGTTGTTAGAACAAAGCGTTGATTATGGTTGGCACATTAACATAAGAATGAGCCTGTCTTGTCTTGGCCATATTTTTCTATCCCTTCTTTCTTAACTACTGTTTACTCGGTAACATTTTCAATAGGCGCATTATTTGTTTGCAACATAAGCCACAGTAGCCATCTTGGTTGAACTTCAACAAAGGATTTCTCATTAGTCTATTGTTCATTCAACCAAGATGGACACTGTCCCATCATCATCATATTCATGAGATATTGTTACAATAAATAAACATACTGTTGCTTGCATTCCTAGTAAATAAGTGTTTATAATAATATCATTTTTTCTATTATTTCAGTGGAAAGTGTGAATATGACTTGATACAAACAACTGACTTGTACACTAAAAGACATACGCAATGGTGAGCGTTGAGAAATTGGTGATTTCCAGGACAATATTTTAGGAGAATAAAGGGGGTAGTGATGATTCCCCTGGGGGTAGGGGCAGTGACATCCCCCTGGGGTAGGGGGTAATGAAAATTCAAATAATACARGGATAAGGATAAGAAAGYGATTTTATTATTATTTTTATGAGGAAAATCAATTAGGGAAAGGGAGTAGTGATGATTCCCCTGGGGTAGGGGTAGTGACATTTCCCAGGGGGAGGGGCTAGTGATAATCCAAATAATACARRRATAAGGATAAGAAAGTTTTCTTCAGRTGAATRTGGCAACACATGATTTTTTGAATATTTTACAACCAGGTACTACTTCCGAGTTGAGAATATGAYCCCTGGTATGACRTACAAGTTCAACATTGTAAACCTCTTGAAGCGAGACAGTTTATACAACTATGGTATGGAAAACATCGCTATGATAAAATATTGTATATTGTACATTTGTACATTTGTACATTGTCAAACAAATATTTCTAGCAAAAGACACAGGGAGCCCAACAACTTTTAATCAATGTGTGCATTTCCTAAAGCTTCAAGCACAGTGAGCTAGCAATTTCTGTGAACATACTTGAATATCTAATTAGTTCATTTTACTCTGTAGGGATGAAGCCATTACTATACTCCCAAAAACTAGCAGATGATGAGAAAGTTGGTTGGAGGCGAACAGGACATAGTATTAGCTATACAAGGAATACATCACCAAAAATAAACCCTTTGTTGGCCAAAGAACTTGTCTACTATGTGCTTAGTTTCCAGATGGTAAGAACAATCTCTACAGTGGCGCCATTTTGTACAGCAAAGTATGATGGTAGTTGTAGTTCTTTGTACTTTTTTATGTCCGCTATAACAGTCCTCCTAAGCAGCTTTTGCTTTTTCTTCTWAAAAATAGAAAAAGTTGGGCCGTTTCTACAAAGAAAACATAAAAACAGCTATTAGAGAGATATTTTAGGGTCTATAATCAGTACGAGGACTACAACTACTATCATGCTTTGCTGCACAAAATGGCSTCACTGCACATTGACTATTGCATTTGATGAATAACTCTTTTTCTTCTGTACCACCACAGTCACATGATACAAAGTTGATTTTGTTTTTATTAGGAGTTCCCATGTAGTGAAGATGTTTGTTACTTGGCTCACTGCTACCCATACTCCTACTCGGACCTTGAGATGTACCTGAAAACACTGGTTGACAGTCCAGCCACGTCACATCATGTGAGGAAAGAGGTGCGTATATRTCATAATTACCTCTTCCTTGACAACTCTTGGGCTTCCTGTCTTACTCGCATGACCGAGAGAGACTATGCACTAAAAAGGGGTCCCAAAGGCGCAACATCTAACTATTGCCTTGGAAGGCCATTTTCTAATATCGTTGTTGTTCCACTAGGTTCTTTGCAAGACACGAGCTGGAAACAACTGTCACGTTCTAACAATTACGTCATCAAAAGGTATGACATCATATTCTTCTATGATGATGTCACTTGGTAGCTAATTTATGCTAATTCATACAGTTCCAGACAATAAGAAACTGGGCGTGGTCATTAGTGCACGTGTTCATCCAGGCGAGACTAATGCTAGTTGGATGATGAAAGGTGTTTTGGACTACTTGACGTGTAACGACCCAGTTGCAGAGGTATGGTTAGCATTCATTTGAAGTGAAATCAAAGGGAATGATCACCGGTCATGACTAGCCGCGTTTTGACTGGGTAAAACATAGATATGAATATCAGACCTTCGTGGTGGGGGATAAAAGTATAGGCCTTCCTACTAGAGAGCCTTGTTCAACCGATGTATGCATTGTGTTATTGCTTACGCGAACATTCGGAAAACGGTCTTACACGTCTTACAGAAAGTCTTACAGAGTTACTTTTTATAGAGTCTTCGCCAAAAGTTTGTTTTCAAGATTGTACCGATGTTGAACCCCGACGGAGTAATCGTCGGTAACTACCGTACAAACCTCGCTGCTAAGGACCTCAACAGGACTTACAAGGAACCGCACAAGGTGGGTTTATAGACGATTACAGTGTCGCGCGATAGCGTTCAAAAGGCCCGTGCATTAAAACGAGGTTTTTTTTCGTAACGAAAATATGCGCAGTGTGCATCTATAGCGGGTTGCGACAGGTTTTAGGAATGCTTATGACAATGATAACATGGTGTGTAAGACTATTTATCCTGCTTTCATCCTTTGCTATGTTTCCTGATTAACTATCATCAGTATCCATGTCATCATGGTCATTATCATTTATTATATCATCAATCTCATTGCGATGTGCTAAGACATATGTTGTTTTTCTAGGATAGTTTCCCTACCGTTTGGCATACAAAATCCATG